AAAAACTGACAAGTTCTATTTGTCGTCCATATTATGGTCAATGCTTCTTTCTCAATATTTGAGTAGTTCAATTTGGCTTTTGACAATTTTCTTGAAAGATACATAATAGGATGACTATCCTGATCTAATATTCTCAAAATTGAGTATTCACTTGCATATTGGTGTATTTATTTTTGTGACCTCTTTAAAGTCTTTGTCAATAGGTATTTAATGGTATGCTGACTTAAGATCACTTTTAGAGAATGTTTTCATACCAGCAAGGAAGTTCAAAGCCCATTCTATATTAGGGATAGGATATGAGTCTACATGTATTTTGTGGGTTACACGTATTTTGTAGTCACCACAAATGTACAGATCCCCCATCCTTCTTTCCCAAAATTACTAATGGGGAGGCCCATTTGCTCCTTCCTGGTGGAATTCATTTAAATAAATCTTGTTCCAGTAATTTTTTAGTTTCTCCACAACTATTAGTAGTAGATGAACAGGCACTTTTCGTGCTTCAAAATATAAGTGGGGGAGGGCATTTTGCTTTAGTCTTAACATTGTTTCATGGTTTTTTTAACATTCCAGTTTCTTCTGCCTTAACTTTGTTGACCAATTTTGTTGAATATATTATGCCCTATTAGACCATAGCTAATATGGTACTGGAATGTAGTGAGACGACATAAAAGTTGTGGACATCAGTTGGGAGAGCCTGATGATATGATCCAAATGGAGAGGAACCCTGACCAAACACCTCAAGTCAGGGGAGGAGAAGCTGACACAAATTGCCACAGAAAGGTGGGCCCGCAGAAAGCAAAGTGACAGCTCCAACAGACCAGAGACAGAAAACAAATGCGACTTCTGCATCAGAGATTGTCACTCTCGCATCGGCCTCTACAGTTACAGACATTGATGCTCCAGCCAAGCATACAATTTGGATACTACACGTGGTCAACCCTGACCGGCGGAGGCGTACACATAATTAGACTATGATACCTTTCACAGTTTCCATGATAATTGGTAATATATCAAACTTATTTTTTTTAGTTCCATGTAGGCTTCAAAATAGCCTAACATTTTTATCACAGATCTGTCAGAGTGATTAAATTGGACAAGTCTTTTCTTTAATCTTGATTTTCCTAATTTCTTCCAGAAATTTTTCAGCATCAAAGTCTCGTCACTTCCTGTATCTAGTTGCATGTCCAATAAAACATTAATTCGAATTTTTAATAACCCTTTCTCATTTTTTCTTTTCAATGAAAAGATATTCATACTTATTTCTTCTTCATTTTGTTTGACTGTCTCTACTTTTTTTTCTTTTAGGATTTACACTGGTGTTTAAAATGATTCATTTAGAAACAGTTTTCACATTTTTTTTTTTTTTTATATGCCGGACATTTTTGTTTTTCTGTTTTATGTCGATATCTACAAATAGGTACAAATTATTTTATACTTTTTTCTTTATCATGTTCATTTCCTCCATCAGATCCAAAACTTTTGTTCTAAATTTTCCAATTTCTTGTTACTGTACAAATTCAACACACTGTTCTAGTGACAACTTTCCCAGTTATCATTAGAATCATTGGCTGATACTCCTCATTTCATTCAGATCAAAACCTCGTCAATTGACTGGTTTTCTGATCACAACTTCTCAAATTCACAATATTTAGTGGCCTGTTTTAAATGAAGAACATATTCAATAACTGGTTCAATCACTTTTTGAGAAATGTTCATGAACTTAACTCTCTCTGCATTAACTAGTTTTTTCTTGGGTGCTATATTCCTCACTATCATCAAACGTCATTTCCTCCAACTGTCTTGGGTGTGCATTTGCTGATAATTTTATGATGGCCTCACAACCAGCAGTTGCCAAGAAGAGATCAGTTATTTGGTTTTCTCCTCCAACTAATTTTTCCTTTTTAATGATCATTATCCTAAAGATTTTAGCTTACTGTTAAATACGAATTTAAATAATTAGGTGCTACTTTTTACCCAAATACACTCAAATATTTTTAAAAATACTAATTTCAATAATCAAATATTGAAATAAGAAAACTTAACTTTAAATTTAGGTTTAGTAATTTAATTACTTGAGATTCAGTGGTACTTATTAGTCTTATTCTACCTTATAATACTACTAATTAAAATATTTAAAGTTATTGCTTGTTACTATTTTTACTTTTACTTTTTTGGTGAAATGTCTGTTCGGCCAAATGTCTGGCCACAAAGTACACATTACCCGGCCCAGGGATTGAACTCACAATTACTATGTCACCAAATTGAAGGGTGAGTAATAACTGAGCAGTACTGAAAATAAGAACTAGATGAGATATCCTTAGATATAGGCAGTGGAACGAGACCAATCTACCGCTATAGATTAAATAAAGTGTTCAATTCAGAATTCCCTGTAGGTGACCCAGATCAATATACACCTGATAAAGGCCAGGAGGAACAATGGCCGAAATGTTGTGATAATAACAAAAATGAGGACAATATGCAGAATAGTGTAAATAATGAGAACTCATCATCCCAGAAATTCAGACAGAAATCTTATTTGAAAATTGTAATATAGTGTTAATATTTATTTTCTATCATTACAACATTAGCTGAAAAATCATTTTAGACAAATCTCTATACAGTCAATGGTACAAAGTCTTTTTTTTTTAATTCTAGACATACTATAAGTGGCAAAATAAGAATATTAGAAGCATAGAAAATGAGGAAAAAAAAACAAACTATATGTATATTTTTGTGGGTTCGGTTAAAAAAGATTAGGGAGAATGGAGATCAAGCAACAACAAAGAGTACTGTAAAAAAAAAAAAAAAAAAAAAAAAACTGGCAAGAGATGCTCAGTGAGATATAAGATCAAAACAAATTTATCAAAATAAAATTTTACTAAATATTAGAGATGCACAAATTTGGTGGTTTGTAAGCCTCAGAAAAGGGAATAATAAATTCCAGGACAAGTAACTTATTTTTTCTAAAAAAAGCTCAATGGTAGTTGTGGGGAAACAAATCAAGTTTACAATCAAAATCAATCAAATAACATGAAATATCACAAGAAAAATGCCAGCATAAACAAAACAATGCAAATTACAAGGAAGAAGATGCAATAAAAGGATTTCCTTGAGGTCGAACCCAGTTAAAATAGTATATTTACTTTGAAAGTTTAAAATGTGAAGGTTCTTAATAGTTCTTGTGATTTGATGCAAGTTATTAAAGTTCATGATGGAATCCATTTGTGCCATCAGAGTCTTCAACAGAGTGCTGTTCTAAGAACAGTTCTTATTCTCTATTTTTTTTTTTATTACAATAGTCAGGGTGAGAACAAGACTTAATTCTGTCATGAAAATAACAATTTGGTTGTCAAAACATTGCTGAGGAGAATTTTCAAAGCAGCTTTTTTGAGTCTACACGCAGTCAGGGTTTCAGATGTTTTGAAAAGTGTTGCACCTCCCACTCCTGTTGATGGTCGTATTGCAGGGATTTTTATAGCAAAAGGTTGGCTCTGATTTGTCCCCAAAATTTTGGCAGTCAACACAAGCATTTCATATTTCAACTGGCTCAAGTAGCCATTGGTTAAAAAAAAAAAAAAAAAAAAAAAAAATCATGTTTATCAAAACAATTTATTGTAATAGAAAAAAAACACTTATTTTTCTTTATCCTTTTTTCACATTTAATTGGCACCCACTGCCACTCTTTGGTCAAGAAGTTTTGTAAGCAGAGTGGCAAGATTCAGGTTTCAGTAATTATTTTATTACCTTCATCCTTTCCCCGCAAACTACCAAGAGCCAAAATAATTTTTAACAAGAGTCTGTCTTCTTGTTGGGACCTCTGATCAATAGAACATTGAAATTAAGACTGACCAGAAGAAACAAGAGAAATGATAATTATTTGGGCACAGACCAGTCCAGAAAGTCAAGAGAGAGAGAGACACACACACCTGGGGCTAAGGTTGTAATCCATGAATTTTCTTACTGTTCATCCCCAGAAAAAAAAAGGAAAAAGAATATATGATGGTGATGGGTCTATCTTTCTCATTCAGCAGACACAAATTTTTTGTACATTTGCTGGCCCTATTGTTCTATGGCTGGGGACATAGGACCAATTTTGTTTGTGGTTTCATTGCTGACTTTGGAAGCTGTTGCCTTCTAAAAACTGCAAACCACAGAAAATACTAGCTTCCCAGTCTAATCATTGAATAAAATTCTCAGAGAAGGCCTTGATTTCCTTGAAGAATTTCACTGAAATTCTCTAACTTTGGGACACCTGTAACAGACAGACAGGACCAAGTATATAATTGTACTAGAGCACAGCTAAAAAGATGAATGGGCAAAGAAACAGATTTTTATTCAAATTTTACAAACCCTAGTATATATATCATATAAAATCACATTTAGCATTTATTTTCAAACAATTTTCCATCTAAAAAAGAAAAAGATAAACACGTTATTCAATGCATATCAAATTGCTGATTTTCCTGATATTAAACCCAAATCCACTGGTAATCCCTGAATTTTCTTTTAAAAAAAAATTGACTTTTATAAATTCCCCCAATTTCCAGGTTAGCTGTCAACCCCCCCCCAAAAATAACAACAGTTGTCAACTAAACTGAACAATGTTGTAAAACGATAGTTGTTCAAGGGCATATGAGCTAGCTTTTAACCACCAAGTGGAACCACATTTCAGGTAGGTACCTTTTATTATTCTGTTGTAATGTTGTTTAGCATGACACAGAGTCCAGCTCTACTGATATTAAGTAAATCCTCCTTGAAATGCAATCAGTTGAACAAAAAGTGAAAGAAACAAAATAGAAAGTTGTACTCAAATGTGAATGATGCAATCCTGTAATAACTTGACACAATACAACTTGAAACACTTAAGAACAATTTCCTAAGTCTTTACGTAAATATATTTAAGAAAATGTTTTCAAAGGGATCCACCCACAAGGCACAATGGGTGTGACAGTTTATGGAAGAAAGATTATTTGTTTTACATAATCTTTTTTTATTACTTTTCAGTACAGAGGAGAGCAGGGAAGGAAAGAAAGAAAGGAGAGAGAAGAGTGGGGAAGGAAAGAAAGAGAGGAGAGGAGACCAAATAAAAGAATAAAAGAGAGGGGAGAAGAGACTGGAGAAAGAAAGAGAGGGGAGAAGAGACTGGAGAAAGAAAGAGAGGGGAGAAGAGACTGGAGAAAGAAAGAGAAAAGAGAAGAAAGAAAGAGAGGGAGAAGAGACTGGAGAAAGAAAAAGAAAGAAAGAGAGGGGAGAAGAGACTGAGAAAGAAAGAAAGAAAGAAAGAGAGGGGAGAAGAGACTGGAGAAAGAAAGAAAGAAAAGAAAGAAAGAGAGGGAGAAGAGACTGGAGAAAGAAAGAAAAAAAGAAAGAAAGAAAGAGGGGAGAAGAGACTGGAGAAAAGAAAGAAAGAAAGAAAGAGAGGGGAGAAGAGACTGAGAAAAGAAAGAAAGAAAGAAAGAGAGGGGAGAAGAGACTGGAGAAAGAAAGAAAGAAAGAAAGAGAGGGGAGAAGAGACTGGAGAAAGAAAGAAAGAAAGAGAGGGGAGAAGAGACTGGAGAAAGAAAGAAAGAAAGAGAGGGGAGAAGAGACTGGAGAAAGAAAGAAAGAAAGAGAGGGAGAAGAGACTGGAGAAAGAAAGAAAGAAAGAAAGAGGGGGAGAAGAGACTGGAGAAAGAAAGAAAGAAAGAGAGGGGAGAAGAGACTGAAGAAAGAAAAGAAAAGAAAGAAAGAAAGAAAGAAAGAAAGAAAGGGGAGAAGAGACTGGAGAAAGAAAGAAAGAAAGAAAGAGAAGGGAGAAGAGACTGGAGAAAGAAAGAAAGAAAGGGGAGAAGAAACTGGAGAAAGAAAGAAAGAAAGAAAGAGAGGGAGAAGAGACTGGATAAAGAAAGAAAGAAAGAAAGAAAGAGGGGAGAAGAGACTGGATAAAGAAAGAAAGAAAGAAAGAGAGGGAGAAGAGACTGATAAAGAAAAGAAAGAAAGAAAGAAAAAGAAAGAAAGAAAGAAAGAAAGGGAGAAGAAACTGGAGAAAGAAAGAAAGAAAGAGAGGGGAGAAGAGACTGGAGAAAGAAAGAAAGAAAGAAAGAGAGGGGAGAAGAGACTGGAGAAAGAAAGAAAGAAAGAAAGAGAGGGGAGAAGAGACTGGAGAAAGAAAGAAAGAAAGAAAGAAAGAGGGGAGAAGAGACTGGAGAAAGAAAGAAAGAAAGAAAGAAAGAAAGAGAGGGGAGAAGAGACTGGAGAAAGAAAGAAAGAAAGAGAGGGAGAAGAGACTGGAGAAAAGAAAGAAAGAAAAGAAAGAAAGAAAGAGGGGAGAAGAGACTGAGAAAGAAAGAAAGAAAGAGAAGGGAGAAGAGACTGGAAAAAGAAAGAAAGAAAGAGAGGGAGAAGAGACTGGAGAAAGAAAAAAAGAGAAGGGAGAAGAGACTGAAAAAAGAAAGAAAGAGAGGGGAGAAGAAACTGAAGAAAGAAAGAAAGAAAGGGGAGAAGAAACTGAAGAAAGAAAGAAAGAAAGAAAAAAGAAAAGAAAGGGAGAAGAGACTGGAGAAAGAAAGAAAGAAAGAAAGAGAAACTGAAGAGACTGGAGAAAGAAAGAAAGAAAGGGGAGAAGAAACTGAGAAAGAAAGAAAGAAAAAAAAAGAGAAGGGAGAAGAGACTGGAGAAAGAAAGAAAGAAAGGGGAAAGAAACTGGAGAAGAAAGAAAGAAAGAAAGAAAGAGAGGGAGAAGAGACTGAGAAAGAAAGAAAGAAAGAGAGGGAGAAGAGACTGAGAAAGAAAGAAAGAAAGAGAGGGAGAAGAGACTGGAGAAAGAAAGAAAGAAAGAGAGGGGAGAAGAGACTGGAGAAAGAAAGAAAGAAAGAGAGGGGAGAAGAGACTGGAGAAAGAAAGAAAGAAAGAGATGGGAGAAGAGACTGGAGAAAGAAAGAAAGAGATGGGAGAAGAGACTGGAGAAAGAAAGAAAGAAAGAGAGGGGAGAAGAGACTGAAGAAAGAAAGAAAGAAAGAGAGGGGAGAAGAGACTGAGAAAGAAAGAAAGAAAGAGAGGGGAGAAGAGACTGAAGAAAGAAAGAAAGAAAGAAAGAAAGAGAGGGGAGAAGAGACTGAAGAAAGAAAGAAAGAAAGAAAGAGAGGGGAGAAGAGACTAGAGAAAGAAAGTAGAGAAAAGAATGGGGAAAGAAAGAGTTCAAATATAATATTAAAAAAAATTTTTAACTTACGGTAAAGACTTCAAGCCAAGTGGATCCAATGTTGCTAATTTGTGTCCATGTTGTCGATAGTTTTTCGTTAAAGTATAAACATTAAGATTCTGAAGCCTTTTGGTGACAGTTTCTGGAGAGAGAACTAGAAAAAAAAATAAATGAAAAAGTAAAATTAACTATAATTTTTAAATATATTGAATTGACTGAAGTTTAGAAATAAATTTGTTATATTCAACATAGGCAATAAACGTGGTGGCTGTAGTCCAAACTCTTCTTGACAAAGTCTTAGTGAGTAGATTTCATCTATCCTGAGATCTTAGAACATTGCAAGACAAACACAGCAGATCTTTATCAAGAGAGAGTAGAAAGAAAGAAATATTACACACACAAAAAGGATTTACTAAACAGAAAGGGCATCATTTTTCAGAATAGCAATGCAAGGCACACATAGTCAAATAAACTTAGATGATAGATTGGAAAGATCTACTTGAGTATTCTTATTCATTAAAACCTTCAAATTTTCATCACTTTGTCAGTAGCAAAACTTCTTGAAATATTGGGGAGATTAATAGAATAATACTTTATATTCATAAACCTAGAGTCTTTTCAAAAAAGTTGATGAGATAGTTAAACAAGATAGTCTATCAAAATTTAATATAAATCTTCTGTGCCGTGTCCCTTCAGTTAGCACTCCATAACTTCCTGTCCTTTGTAGCTCTTAGTAAGGTTTGTCATTTTGCTATTTTTCCTAATCCAAGTTCTGCCAAACATTTATACAAGCTCATTACATAAGCTATTCACTGCTTTCGTCTCTCCCTTTTATCTTCAATATGTCCTATGAGTGTCAAATACTCCAAGACCTCTTTCCTCATTATGTACCAGTCTCTTTCAAATTCACATGAAAATGAACTACTCCATTATCTTGCCAGTAGCATATAAATAAAGCAACGTTGGGTCAGACAGTTTTAATTTGTGCTTGACAATTGCAATACGCATGAAATATCTAGCATCAAGCAATGAAGAACAAATATATAATTATTCATAGCATAATTTTTAGCTCTGTTATTTTACATTGAGCACAGTTTTTATTATTACTACCAGTACTCACTTTGTGCTATTTTTATATATATATATATATATATATATATATATATATATATATATATATATATATATATATATGTTAGGAAATTAATAAAAAGTGAAAAAATCTTTTGTGCGATGTGTTTTGTCCAATAAAGTCCTAAAGAAGAAAAACACATCACAAAACGATTTTTTCACACACATATATATGTGTGTGTGTGTGTGAGAAGATGATATATAAATTTATATATATATATATATATATATATATATATATATATATATATATATATATAGATACACCTAGTGAGCCAGACAAACCTACCTAGGTTTCACCTAAACAGATCGTCAGGGAAAGCTTGGAAAATAAGGAATAATAACGTGCAACAACAAATTGCTAAAAATATAAAAGAAATGAAGGAAGACAAGAATATTTACGTAAAAGCTGATAAATCGAAATTCTTATACAAAATGAGCCCCAATACTTACAAAAAAATACTACATAAGGAGGTAATAAAACATTATATAAAAGCTCCTAATAACATAGAGACTAAAATTAACAATGAGGCTAGCATCCTAATTAATAAATTTGAATTAGGAAATCGAGTTGAAAAAATAAACCTAAACACTTGTTTCATCACCATAAAAGATCATAAAAGTAACTTTATTAATAACCCGGAATATAGACTTATAAACCCTACTAAGACGGAATTAGGCAAAATAAGTAAAATAATTTTGCAGGATACATGTAAATCCCTTAGAACTTTCTTTAATATTAACCAATGGCAATCTACCAAGGATTGCATTAAATGGTTTGAAAATTACAATAAAAATAAAAAGTGCTCATTTATTAGGTATGACATTAAGGAGTATTATCCGTCCATCTCAGAGAAAACGCTAAACGAAGCACTTAGCTTAGCTAAAGAATATATAGAAATTCCTGATGATAAAATAAATTTAATTAGACATTGTAGAAATACATTGTTATTTCATGATAATAATTTATGGATAAAAAAAGAGAATATTAACGGTTTTGACAACCCTATGGGAGCGTTTGATGGGGCAGAGGTGTGCGAGACAGTAGGGTGCCTGCTGCTCCATAGGCTTAATGAATATATAGACTTTAATAACCATGGGTTGTACCGCGACGACGGTTTAATCATAGTGGACAATAGTAACCCTCAAAAATGTGACAACATTCGTAAAAAACTGCACTGGTTTTTTTAAAAATTTGATTTTATCTCGATATAGAAACCAATTTGAAAATTACAAACTATCTAGATATCACATTAAATTTACAAAATGGCACAGTATCCCCGTATAAAAAAAAGAAAATCAAGAACCCCAGTATTTACACATAAAATCAAATCACCCAGCCCATATTATAAGGCATATCTCTAAAAAATATTGGGTATAGACTTTCAACTAATTCCTCTAATAGGGACATTTTTGAAGCCAACAAAATAAGTTATGAGCAAGCCCTAATTAAGAGTGGACATAAAAATAAATTAGAATATATAGACAACCACAATATTACTCGGAATAGACATAATAGGCAAAGAAAAAAATTTTGTGGTTTAATCCCCTTTCAATTTAGCAGTAAAAACCAAAATTGGTAAGATATTTTTTAATTTATTGGAACAACATTTCCCAAAAAAAACTGAGTTACATAAAATATTTAACAAAAATAATGTAAAACTTAGTTATTGTTGTATGCCGAACGTAGGGACTATTATAAACGGATTGAATAAGAAAAAAACTAGGAATGATCCACGTAGCAATCCTCCTACTTGTAATTGTAGAAACAAAAACATCTGTCCATTACAGGGAAAATGCCAGCAAGAATGCGTGGTGTATCAAGTGAAGATTTACAAAAATACTGAGGATACTAATCCTAAAACATACATAGGTGCTACTCAGGATAAATTTAAAAAAAGATATTATAACCATACGAGTAGTTTTAAGAATGCAAAAATTAAACATAGTACCACGCTATCTACCTACGTATGGAAAACCAAACAAGATAATATAGACCCCATCCTTAAATGGGAAATATTAAAAAAAATGCCAAAATATAAAAGCAGGCCATAAATTTTGCAAATTATGTGCTGAGGAGAAATTAGCCATAGCTTTATATGATCGCCCTAACCAACTATTGAACTCTAAAACTGAAATTCTCAATGTATGTAGACATAAAAAATCATGGCTACTAAATTAGACATTTTTCCCGTTACTGACTTTCCACTGAGGATTTTTTTTTTTTTTTTTTTTGTTGTTGTTGAATAAATATTTAACCCCCCCCACTTAGGTTGTTGTGTGTTTTTTTTTTTTTTTTGTCACGTGGTATGATTTTAGCTATCACCTATAAATATACGTGTTTCCCTTTGCCTCGTTAGCCAAGCTTTCCCTGACGATCCGTTTAGGTGAAACCTAGGTAGGTTTGTCTGGCTCACTAGGTGTATCTAGGTTTGCTCTACGATTGTATTGAGCTCTTTTGTTAGTTGTTACTCGTATCGGGGTTTTTTCTTTGGGCTTCAGACCTGCATCTGTGCGATTTTTTGTCGGCAGAAGTTCATGTTTGTAGCTCTTTCTTTTTTTAAAACCTTTTTTTCCCCTCGAAATTGATTTGATTAACAAATCAAAAATTCGGGTTTTTCGAAAACGAGTCTAGTTATTATATATATATATATATATATATATATATATATATATATATATATATATATATATATATATATGTGTGTGTGTGTATATATCATATAAAAACTCTGTGAACTTTGTATCTTAGGTGTTTGCCAGAACAAGTTATATATATATATATATATATACATAGAGAGAGAGAGAGTTAGGGAAAGAAAGATGTAAATTTATTATTGTGTAGGAATGGGCAATGGAGTCAATTTTCTGACAAGAAAGTGTATAAAACACATGAAATCTGGCCCCAAACAGGATATGCACAGCTGTCATCAAAGTCCATGCCACTATCGCTTGTGAACTTCACAACCTCATGCTAAAAGCAACAGTGCTTACAAATTTCAGAGACCACTTCAGACTACGGCAACACTGTCCACAGTAAGAAACAAATTCTATCTCTTTATCCTCTTTACTATCAACCATGCACAGACGTGTTGACTTTTTCACACAAACACACATATAACAACATTTCATCATTTCTCACATATGTACACAAAGAGAATTTATATTTTATTTCAGAATTTTATTAACCCAAACAAAAAGACATTACTTTCTAATCTGTGACCAATTTGTTGTATTCTTGTTATTATATTAATGTTCATTTGTCGAAACTACATTGTCTTTTCTACTGAATTTTATTCTTTCAATGAAAATTGTTTGGTTATTCTAAACGGTTGAATGACGCACAACCCCGCAACAATATTTTATGTTATTGTATCGAATCCCAACACTCCGAATTTTGACGTTCCAAACTATTGTTGTTCAACTTTCTTCAAACAGGCAATTTTTTAATGTTGAAAGAAACTTCAATAACTGCAAATAAATATATTTTTAAAATATCTCTACTTTCACAAACTTTTCATGAAACTAAATGTAAATGGTAAACACAACAAGGTTGACCCAACAGGTCATGGGTGGTCTAGTGTATATATATATGATAATATTATTTGGTAATCCATATGGAGGATATAAATCCAAAGAGAGTTCAATGTAAGAACAGAGCAAATGATAATTATGAAAGTGGAGACTTTAGAAATCCATGGTAATATTTTATTTTGCAAAACTGATACTTCGGTTTCATCTCATCAGACCAAAATCAGTTTCAACAATAAATGGATTTAAAATTTTACCAGGTACATAACAAAATATTTAAACATAAATTATCTTGTAAAATATAGATTCAAAATAGGGGGAGGGGAAAAGAAAGAAAGTGAAAGGGGGAGAAAAAGAGAGATATATCTGTATAGAGAGATATATAGAAAAGGAAAACGTAGTAGATGAGAGTATATATTATAGTAGTTGACCTATTTCCACTGGATGTAAGAAGTGAAGTAGAGAGGGTATCTTTAAAAGGGAACAGAAGAGACAAAGGAAAGAGAGCAAAGGAAAAAGAAAGGAAAGAGGGAGAAAAAAAGAGAAAGAAAAGGAAAACTTGAGAGATGATTCGGAACTAGTAATCGTTGGTGTTTGAAATTGAATATCTTTGAAAATTTTCTGTTCAATGCATGAAAAAATAAATTAAAAAAAAGATTATTTTAAGTGAATAAAAATAAAATTAAAGTTATGAAGATGCATGTACATATTCCCACATAAACATAAATACATACACCTATATATGTACAAACATACATATACAAATACAGTATATAAATGAATCCACATTCTGAAAATATATACACATGTATGTATATAACCTAAAAACACACACATTTGTGTGTGTATATATATATATATATATATATATATATATATATATATATATATACACACACACATACACTGACAAGTACATACTCAAATAATATAAAATACATATCAAACACACCCCTAAGTGTAAACAGGTACATTAGAGTGCATCCCATCAAGTGTACCTAGATACATATGCATAATACAAAACAATAGAACATACAAAACACAAACATACACACACATATACCTATATATACAAATAACCACACATGTTCACATATACAAAATATATACACTAACACAAATATAAAAAAGAAAACATACATAAGTACAATTGTATACTTGATACATATCAGTCAGTGCCATGCATGATACATGCTTAGGTGATCATGTATCTTTTGATACATGACTGACGAGGCAGAGTTTTTTTTTCCTGCAGTAGGTTGCCATTTCTTTCTACGGCAAACCAGCGTTTGCAATAAAATACTCAATATCAGAGATACCTCCTAATGAGTAGACTGAACAATTTTTGTCATTGAGTATATATATATATTATTTATTTGAAATTTATAACATAAATATGTTATAAAATCAGTACAAAAATAACTATTTTGTTTCAACACTTCTGGTGTCTTATCAAGTGATGGTGTTGAATGTAGAATAAAGTGTCTTAAAAGGTTCAAATCAATCAAACACTCCTCACAAGGGGAAATGCTGTTACATAAGCTGGAATGACCAATCAAAATACAAGTATATGAGAATTCAATAAACTTGACAACAGGCTTTGGTTATAATAACTGATTAATGCTTTATTGTTAGGATTAGACTAAAATAGAATTCATTCTAACCAATTAATATTAAATTTTACTATAAAATTCAAAATCAAAAATTACCAATTCCAGCTTATGTAACAGCGTTTCCCCTAGCAAGGGATGTTTGATTGATTTGAACCTGTTAAAACTCTTTATTCTACATTCAACACCATCACTTGATAAGACACCAGAAGTGTTGAAACAAAATGGCTATTTTTGTAGTGATTTTAATAACATATTCATATTATAATTTTCAAATAAATGATTATATTTGCTCTACTCTGTATTGAGCACTCCTTTAAGAATAGTATTTTTTGGTTGTTGGAATTTATTCTGTATACACCAATCCTATACTTGTGTGTGTGTGTGTGTATATATATATATAATTTGAAGGCATACTGAAAAGTTCATAGTCTGACCACTTCCCAAACTCTGACCAAACATTAAACCTTATTTTTTATTAAATATACTGTGTCTTATAGTCTTTTCCTTTTCCATTCTAATATCTGATGAAATTGACTGTGTGTGACAACCACCTAAAGAAGCCTGGAGAATTCCCTGGTGGGGGATATAATGATAAAAATTCTGAAGATTTGGGTCAAAATTCATCAATGTGTCATCAAGTTTTAGATTAAAGAAAACCTTCCAAATATATAGAAAAGTAAAATTACTGTATTTAATTGAAAACAGTTAACAGAATTCCTTTGGTTATCTAACATTTTATAATTCTCATTATTGATATGCTTAGAAATTGTAGAGTTAGCATAAAGAGACTAGAATTTATACTGTGTCTATCAAAAAGTAAACAAATGTAGCTATATTCCTTTAAACTATAATATCCTCCTGTTTAAAAGTTTAAAAAGTGACACATTTTCCCATATAACTAAACTATAATTAGAAACAATAATTTAGAAAGTGAAAATTTCACTGTATTGGATTATCATCCCAATGATAATCATGGGTGGCAAGATTTTGAATTACTGCCCCCTGACAATAATTACAGGCAGCATGAGATTTGAAAGCATCCATAGCTTTTTCAGTGACTTTTCATAACAAAAAGACATTCTTTTTGCTCCTGCCAGCATGTAAGTACCTCAGCTACAGATACTGAAGTTTCCTTTGAACTCTTCACATTTAATTTCATTTCTCCCTTTTTCCTTTTTGTAAAATGTCCATCAATATATTTGTTAATATTTATTTGTTTTAATTAAATTATATATCTTATTTTTCCCTGAAGTCACATTAGTCCACCGAAATTGTTTGTGTGCTAAATGTGCCAGGAGCATTAAAATCTCATCAAAAGTGTTGGAAACCCACAACTAAAATATGTTGGGAAATTTCCATGTTTTAATCTGAAATTGAAGAAATATGAACATTAAACAAAATAGTCACAATATATGGTAAAACGAAGGTGTCAGTTTCTGATACCAGCAGGATATGGGTTTATATATCTTATTTGAAATTAACAAAAAAACAATTGATTGGGACATGTGATTGCACCAATTCTATTTTTCTGTTCTGCAGAAATGGCTCAACTGAAAAGTACAAAAGATAAAAATGCATAATGATTATGGGAACAGAAGTCCTACCTATCTTTTCATACAATACACTTTAGAGTCTTTTGTAATTTTGAGAAGAGTCAGCATTTCAAGATTATTTTGATGTACGTATCCCGTTGTTTTTGTAAACTCAATATTTCAACCAAACTATTTTACACTATTCCCTTTCTAAGTATACAAACTGTATGTAGAGATGGAGACGTTGAGAGAAGTGTCTCTTTTTATTCAGCAATGAAAAGCAAGATAAAAAAAAAACTCCACTTTTTCAATATAGATTGTACACCTGAAGAAGTCGGTAGAATTTTATCGAAAAGTGTTTTTAAAAAACAACAATAAAAATAATCAGAAGTAAAATAAATCTTAGAATGTATTTTTACTGACATGTTTCGTACCAAGGTCTGGGATTTTATTTCTTTTATGCTAAGTAATGTAAAAATATGAATAGACAAAAAAATAAAAATATATTTGTATTTTCTAATTAATAATACTCAATAATAATTGATTTTTATTTTTTGGGGATGTGGGAAATAAGTTTGAAAGTTAATGAACATCATAAAAGTGAAATAGAAATAGTTTTTTTACTTTTACTTTTAAAAAGAAAAAAGTTGTCAACTGTTCATAATTTTGTTTTGTAACAGTTTCTTTTGTCCGATAAAACATGAATTTTCTTGAATATCACCTTCACTATCCTTTGAATAACAAGAACTTATTTTGTACTACTGATGACCTTTAATAAGAAGACAAACAAAAATAAACACATTAAAAAAATTAAACTTAAGGAAAGTGAATTCAACTTTAAAAAAACGCATTGCTTACTGTATCTTTGTGAGAAATCTAAAATTCATAATTTATGAATTAATTTTATGTATTAATTAAAAAAAAACAAAGGTTATTTTAATTTAAAAATAAGAAAAATAACCATTCCTCTTTCAATTAATACTCTCCTTAAAACGAATTTTTACTTATAAAAATGTTAAAAAAAAAAAATTCGTTTTTAATGTCCTCAATGACTGTTTTTTTTAAGTTTGTTAATCAATCACGTCTAATCAATAATTAAATAACATTATTTTAGTTTAAACTTTAAAACATAAAACTAAAAGACAACCCAATGATTTCAAATCAACAAAAAATAAAATAAAACTGCAATTAAATAAAATTGCAATTAACAGTAACTCAATGTTTTTAAAATCCATTAGTGAAAAACTGAAAATAAAACTGTTTTGCAATCAAGCAAGCGTAAACATGTAAACAGGAAAAATGTTACAAATTGATTAATTCTCAGTTTCACTCAGGGGTTGTAGAAGAAGAAAAAAAATAAACAAATTTTTCGTGGTTGGTAATTTGTTCAACAGTTTAAAACAGAAACAAATTTTGTTATAGTGATTTTTTTAATAAACCGAATATATTTTTAAGTTAAGAAGAATTGAAGAATTCAAATCAGCAAAGCCACGTGGCTTTTTAAATTTAAAGTTTGCTCCACGTATTCGCTGGAAGTTTTCATTCGGACATATTATTTTTTTAAATAAATTAAATTTTAATATTTTACGCTCTATAGTTACGATATATATTTTTAAATAAAAAATATCTGTGGAGGAGAGTATAATAACAGCTAAAAAAATTGTGAAAAATAATAAAATAAACAAACCGCTTTAACCTCTAGTAAAATTTAAAAATGTAAATGACAACTCATCAAAAAAAACTAAAAATAAATAAAACGGAAAAATACTTTCTTTCATAATTATTTTTTAATGTTAAAATCCATTTTAATTATTAATTTAATAATATTTATTTACCAAACATTTATGCTTTATCTCGTCATTACGTATTTTTATTTTATTTTTAATTTTAAAAAAGATCCCTTTAAATATAAATATTTTGTGGAATAAATTAAAAAATTGTATTTTATTACAATTTTTACAATATTTAAAAAATATTTACGAGTTTCAGTGTTCAAGTGAAGAATAAACAACTCACTGCTCAAAGCAAAATATTCGGAGTTTTAGTTTTCGAATAAATTATCATTATTTTTGGTTGGTGACATTTTTTCAATAATGTGTATATTGTCATAAAACAAATTGATAAAATATTTATATTTTTTGAAAACATTATCTTTTGGAGTTTAGTCAAGTGTTAAAATAAAAAGAAGGTGAAAAAAGATTGGAAATCACAGAAAACGACAAAAATGTTATTGTTTGTTTTCGCAGGTGCTTAAGTTCAACTCACCCTCCACGTGTGTCGTTTCCTGCGGAATATAGCCATACACTCCAGTTTTTGAGTGATAAAATGATTGTGATCCCCGATAGATGGTACATCTATTTAAAAGACAGCGAGAAAAAAACCTCATAATGATGATGATGACTCTTGTTGTTGCTCCAGATTAGCAAGACGGAAACCTCCGTTTTTTCAGACTATTTATTTCGCGGAAGAACGTAACGACGGTAACATCCAAAACGTGGAATCATAATGTTTTAAACATTTATTTTTATTTTTTATATAAACAGTACAAAATAAGAGTTTTATTTTATTTTTAATATTTTGAAAACAGTTTTTTGTGAGTTATTATTATATATCAAATTTAATGTTTAAAACTGTCGAATTAATATTTATTTACGAGTTTCTGATTTCGTTGTGATTGTACGTAAAGAAAGCGAAATCGTACACGACACAGTAAAAAAAAATTATTTGGTACTCAAAAGAAAGGAACAAACGTGACTAATGAAAATTCTTTAAAATTGTAAATATTTTTTTAAACACTCGCTATTCTTGTTTTTGTGAAAATCAGTTTAGCTTTCTTTATGACACTTCATATTCAACAACCCGATCGATCTAACTTAAAGTAACTAAAAATTTGATTTCGCTTGCTGCAGAATTATTATGGAATTGTTCGTTTTTAATGTTTTAAGGGAAAGTCTAACTGTTAATTTTAATTCCAACAAAGCAAATTCTTTGTTTGGCACGGTTTTGTTTTTCCAACAAGCTTTTTGCAAAGAATTTCTCCTCTTAGTCGTGACAATTACAAAAAAAAGTGTGCACTTGATGTCTAACAATTAATTTTGTACTAATAAGACGTGTCGGTTATTGGTCGGTGTTCAGGTCCACGTAAAATGCAGGATTTTGGATGCCGATTTTCAAGGGGAACATACTTTCCCTACTTGAAAACTGGCGAAAAAACGTTTTACTTACCACTTTTAACTTGCCAATAAAGCCAATTGCCAAACTTAGTAAAACTCAAAGTGGTCATCTTCAAGCGATCTAATTTCAATATTTCATGTTAAAACCTATGTTAAAAATCGCTTTTATTTTCGAATGAAATGATTGAAAAATACGCTGTTCGCATTTTGGAATTGTGTGTAACGGGAAAGAGTGCAGAGAACCCCTGGAGAGGGCGCGATATAATATTGGCCTGTGCGCCCAAATAAGGATAATCACAGTGGCGGGGGCGCTAACGTTTTATTTTTAGAAATATAAAAGACGTGAAATCTGACAGGTGAACTAAGAGGACAACAAAACGACAAACTAAAATTAATACAAAATTTATTTACATCATATACAAATGTAGTGTTTCGATTAAAAAGGAAGGAACATGAACAAACAGTGAATCAAATATAATGGAAGCAGAATTGAGTAAAAAAATATAAGGATACTGACTGGTTAGAAGAACCTAGCTGCAACTAAGTGCTAAAACTAAAAATAGAGTCCAGGTAAGTTAAGTTGGTATGATAAACCAGAGTTCGAAAGTTCAATTAAAATGTCCGGCGAAAGTGTTGAGTAGTTGCTGGTTAAGTCCAATGATGAACCTGCCATAGTATTTAACTGAAGTGTACAGTTAGTTGTATTCTGGACGATAAAGATGCAACTTCCTAAACCAGGTGAGTAGGTTGACAGAAAACGCTGGAAGTTAATAGATGAAACTAGGCAGAAATAGTTGTACTGTCCGGTGCAGGCGCTGATAAAATCCATGATAAAGCGGCCAGAAAATATTAGCCAATGTTGCGTTAATGTCCTGGTTAAGTCCAATGATGAACCTTCCGTAACCGATGTGTACGGAATAGGTTGTTTGAAATCTGGACAATATGCATGCAGCAATTTCCTAAACCAGGTGTGACGGGAAATCCGGAAGTAGGAACCTACGCGTAACCGGAATTTCAGGGCCGTTGTAAGCAAGCAGGTTCATTAACGTCGATCAACCAGGTGAGTTAGGTTGAGATCGGAATGCCGGAAATAGGGACCAATGCGTAGCCGGGAGTTCAGGGCTGTTGAATGGAGATCAACCCGGTGAGTTATGGTCCGGAAGTAATAAAGGCCAAGTATGCCGGAAGATAAGGATCCGTGATAGCCGGAAGTAGTAAAGACCAGAAATAACGGAAGTAGGATGCCGGAAGATAAGGTCAGTAGTAGACGGAAGTAGTTTAGGTCTGAATTCCCTAAAGTAAAGATCCGAGGTAGAAGTAGTAAGGCCAAAAATACTGGAAGTAAGACTGGAAAGGAAATCCCAGTTGGCAGACTAAAATAAAAGGGCTCAATACATAACCCGTCCAAGCCCCACATAGGGCCTGTGTTTCTCCACCTCTCTTCTCTCTATTTACCAACCTCCCCACGAGGTAAGATGTAGCACAAGGTCAGTTTTTAACGTGGGGCATTCCGAACTCGTAGGATTGAGCAAAAATTGCCCGTAGACCCCGTATACTAGGGGTCGGGTTTGTCTCCATTCCCAAACGAGATTCTGCTCTTTGGCATAGCCACATCTGGTTTCCTCTCTGCCCGGAAGCGGAGAGTTCGACAGGAGAGGAAGAGAAAGCCTAAAGTCGTTAGGTTATATAATAAGGGAGTATAACAACATTAACTGGACCTGCATACCTAAAGAAAAATAAACCCAGAGTTGCTACGAAGTATAAAAAGTATAAAAAATGTTTCAGAAAAGTGTTTAGACTAAGTTAGTAATAATCAACCAACCAAAGAGAAATTAGGTTGATTATAAATCTAAATAAACTTGCTAAGAAGTGGGGTAACGCAATGAAGAAAAGGCCAAGATCTAGAGACAAAAATATTGCGTCGGCCATGATTACGTGATCGGAGTAACGAAGGGCTACGATAAGAGCTATGGTAGAAAGGTTTATTCTCCCATTTGTATTTCCCCCATTATGGGCATTATTATATCCGCGATATAATACTGTAGTTCACAGACGGAACAGAATGACTGAAAGGAAAAAGACATGCTTTGTTCTCAGAGTGATTTTTATATCACTAAGACATACACACATCTATATGTACATATATACACATGTCCCACACGGAGAATAATATATCAGTGTAAGGAGAAACAAACAGGAAAGTTCTTACATATAATATGGAGATATTCATTAATCTGAAGATCCTTTGTTTCGGACTCCAGATTCAAACGACCGGATTCATCTATGTCCTAGGCGAGGACATATATCACGAACGGGAAACAGGGTTTTCCCCAAATTGGGGACTGCAAGCTGGAATTTCAATTTACATCTGGGGAAGATATATTTCCAAAGGGAAACGCCACCATGTGATCGAATCTGCTGGCGGGGTGCAGTTTTAGCAACCTCACGTGTTGGCTGCTGTAAACAAACTGGAATTGACTTCAGCTATCGTCACTGTTGGAGTGACGTCATTAAGCGGCTGTCACGTAACCTACGTGATTTATCTCTACCAAAGGAAGATAAGCGCCTTCTGTATGCCTACATGTGGTTTGCCTCAACCCTCCACTTTCAAAGATTGAAGCGATAGTCAAAACAGAATTTCAAGAAGAAAATTATCCTTGAGAGAAGAAACAAATGGTGCTTTAATAGTTTTGTTAACATTTTGATTTCCTATCGGCTCTGGTTTCTTTAATTCGGAGCAGTCGTTTCCTTCCTTTGTAAAGGAAAGGAAAGGTCTTCTCGTGAAGGTTAACGCAGAATGTTGGTAATTTGCATTCAAAATGAATGAACACTTGGTGAACATTTGTTTTATTTAATCAATCTACCGCAAGCAAGGCGATAATGCCACTAAGACGCAAGAGGTAACTGTGAGGGAACGAGAATGAGATGTTTGTAAGGAACCGCAAACCCAATCCTAGACTGGAAACAAGGGATAAATCTTTACTCTGTTCAAAAGATCGGGAAGGAGTGTGAACCGGACGATAGGCGAAATTATCTACTCCTATTGAAGAAAAAAAAGTAAATAAATAATGAATAAAGTTTCAGTGTTTAGGCGGAGATATTAGAAGTATAGAGTTGAAGTAGACTTCAGAAGGAACCAGAAGCCCAATCCTAAACACGAAACAATAAGTCTCTATTCCTGTTAAAAATACCAGGGAGGAGTGTGAACTGGATGATAGGCGAAACTATCTACTCTTAATTAGGAAAAAAATAAAATAAAAATTAAACAGTGGATAACATTACAGAGTTTAGGAGGAAACGTCAGAAGTATAGAATTGAGGGAGGCACGATTGAGTAATGGATAGCGGCACGGATTGAGAAATCGGAGAGCCGAGTTCGAATTCCAGTCGAATCCATTATACTCACTGTTGTGGATTCCGGGTTGAAATCCGGTACCAATAAATAACAAACGCCAGGAATGAATATATGAAAATAATGTATTAACGTAATAATACAAACTGGTAAAGCAGGTTAGTAGTTCCAGGAATACGGGTTAGTAGCAAAATATCTATACAGTCTTTGGTATTGAAGTATCGCTGTATGACTTCTTACTGAGTCTACGTGCTTGCTCACTGTGACTCCTACAAACGCTGTTACCTCACCCCTCACTCTTCCGGTTGCCTACAACCTTTTACTCTGTCACTATGGACTCAACTCTTCGGTCCTGCTCTCGTCTCACTCTCGGGTCTTCCCGTAGCCGTAGTATATGTATATACTGGGTGAGTCCATTTGTGTAAAAAGGGGTGGACCCCTCAACACTCACGTGCTAATACCCTTGAGAAAAGTATTAATCCTCGTCTCCTTCCCCGCAGCTATGGGTAAATTGTAGGACAGACCTAGTTCTATAGACTTGGATGGTAACTGGTCTAGCTCAGAAAGAAATGGCAACCTACTGCGGCTCATCAGTAATGTATCGAAAGATACATGATCGCCTAAGCGTGTATCACGCATGGCATATAACTGACTGATAGGATTGAAGTAGACTTTAGAAGGAACCGGAAACCCAATCCTAAACTGGAAACAGGGGATAGACTTCTACACCTGTTCAAAACACCAGAGAGGAGTGCGAACCAGATGATAGACGGACCTATCTACTCATATTGAAATTGGTTTAGTTTTAGTTTGTTTTCTCATATTGGTTGTTATGTATTAAGACGAAAGAAGTCAAGAATGG